GACAGGTAAAGCACAGCATTCTGGGTTTTTTTGGGGCATCTTGGCTCTGAAAAACACTGCCAGAATTAGACAAGCGGGCCTCTAGGACACATTCAGGAAGCAGCTGAACTCTCTTCATCTTGTTTTTTTTTTTTTTAGAACAATGCTTGTCGTGTGTTACTTTGAGGGACATTTCCAATGGCGCGATTTATTTTCACGGCAGCCATAAAAAACTTCAACCTTAGCGTTAAAGAGTCAAAGCCTGTCACTTAATGGCAGAAACGAGCAGAATGCCATCGCTCTGGATGTAACGGGAGGCCAGAGGCGTGTGTACGTCGAGCCCCATGGTGCTGCGTGCTACGTCGTGACTTGTGACGAATGAGTGTTTCATCTCCGTCCAGCGTTTGTCGCGACTGTTTACAGACTCAAAGTGCTCCGTCTCGTCGTGATGCGTGGGATTACAGGACCCCTGCCGAAGCGGCTGGGGACAACATAATTAATTTCAGACTGAGAGCAACTTCAACACAAGGAGATTCATGTTTCATATTCAATGTGGGTAAGACAAACCGGACGGTACACATAAATCTTACATATCTCCACATTAGCGATGCATAGAAGGATATCAGGCAATCCAGTTCAAACAGCGCCTTGGGTTAGTTTGAGCAGAAATAATGAGACAGAATGGCAAAACAACCAGAGATCCCTGCAAAGCATTACCTGTTGAAAACAGGATGGACAAGTTTCCCACAATTCAGGCTAGAAAACAGAAAAAAAGGAAAGAAAATGAACTGAATACATAGTCATTTGGGGGTTTGAAAACTCAAATTATAGTTATGACATGCATTCAACAATGAAACCATCAAAAGAAGAAGATTAATGGCAAACCTAATGGAAAATCCAGCTAAAACCAGCTTCTGATGGTAGACGCTGGTTTTATATGGTTGAAATCATGAAATGAAAAAGATTCATGGCAACCCTACTGGAAAATCCAGCTAAAACCAGCTTCTGATGGTAGACACTGGTTTTATATGGTTTCTACAGAACTACAGTGGTCATTAACTGAAACGGCCCAATGAAGAGGATGAATGGTAACCCTACTGGAAAATCCAGCTAAAACTAGCTTCTCATGGTAGACACTGGTTTTATATGGTTTCTACAATAGGTGGTCATTGACTGAAACCATCAAATGAAGGAGATTAACGGCAACCCTATTGGAAAATACAGCTAAAACCAGTTTCTGATGGTAGACGCTGGTTTTATATGGTTGAAATCATGAAATGAAGAAGATTCATGGCAACCCTACTGGAAAATCCAGCTAAAACCAGCTTCTGACGGTAGACGCTGGTTTTATATGGTTTCTAGGTGGTCATTAACTGATGGTAGACACTGGTTTTATATGGTTTCTACAGAACTACAGTGGTCATTAACTGAAACGGCCCAATGAAGAGGATGAATGGTAAACCTACTGGAAAATCCAGCTAAAACTAGCTTCTCATGGTAGACACTGGTTTTATATGGTTTCTACAATAGGTGGTCATTGACTGAAACCATCAAATGAAGGAGATTAATGGCAACCCTATTGGAAAATACAGCTAAAACCAGTTTCTGATGGTAGATGCTGGTTTTATATGGTTTCTAGGAGGTCATTAAGTGAAACCATTAAATGAAGATTAATGGCAAACCCTGCTGGAAAATCCAGCTAAAACCATTTTTGATTCTAAATGCTGGTTTTATATGGTTTCTAAGTGGTCATCATGCTGGTGGGATAAAGGTTGACCTGGTTAGTTAAGCTAGATGACCAACTCGAGATGATATGACTTGAGTTTTCTAGCAAGGAAACAGAGAACAAATACGAGAAATAATAAGAGAAAGGAGTGAAGGTGTTGTGGAAGAAATTATTATAGAGCAAAATTATTAGCCTCAAGATACTGGATCCATAATGACACTGATAGACATACGGCTCACATTATTTTCTGTTTAATTACACTGACACCTGTGGCTTTTGCACCAAAGTTTCCCCCTAAAACCCACCATCGCCTCACGGGCCTGATTCATCTCAGCTGGACTTCTGGCAGGTTGTGACGTTGCTGAAGGCGACTCAATCTGTCGCACAACAACCTTCAGCTAAACTAGCCGTGATATACTGCAGTCATAATGCTAATACACGCAGATAATTAAGGGTGTTTCTTTAACTTGATTTTTATTTTAAACAATTTAAAAAATGGGCTTTTGCTACACCCAAGTCCAATTAAAATGTCACATTTTATTTATTTTATATATATTTTTTTTATTCTGTAATTTCCTATCAAGTTGTAATTTTTGTTTTTTAAATTGTACAAAAAAGTGTGTAAATATTATTCAATATCATGAGTGTATTTAGAATAAATAAAATGCTAACTATGAACATTTTCTATAAACATTTAATCTGTATTTTTTTTTTAAATATATGTTTTGTGCAAAGTAAAAATGTGATGGGGAAAACTCATTTGCAGACAATTTAAAACTAATTAAAATTGTCCAATTATAACGTCACATTTTACTATAACGTCTTTTTTTTACTACTGTTCAACTGCACTTTGTTTAGACTTTATTGTTTTACACCTAAACCCAGACTTGCAATCTTAAAATATAAAACTCAATTCTAAAAATGTGAATTTACATTTTAAAATTGAAATAATATATAAAAATAAAAACATTGCTCCACTATTACAATAAATATAACTAAACCATTAAAAAAAATTTTGTGTGAAAAATATTGATATCAAATTTTCAAAAATTACAAATAATATTTTGTAATATCCAATCAAAGTTGTAATAATTTTTCAAATTATGCATAAAGTGTGTAAATATTATTCAATATTTAATGCATAAATGCTAGCCATTTTATCCCAAAAATGTCCATATATATATATATATATATATATATATA